TCAGGGGATTTCGTAGTCGAGCAGTCTCGACTAGAGCTTTCTTACTTGTTTTTTTTTGCCAATATGTACACAATGCAAAAAAAAAAAAAAAAAAAAAAATTTAGTGAGAAAACAAGAAAGCAATTCATTGTGTTTTGTTTGGGAATACGATAAGCAGAAATAACACAACTGTTTTGTTTTCCCAAAAGTTCCATAATCATCAAATGCATACGCAAAATAGGAGAAGAAAAAAATTCGCTTATCGCTTAGAAAAACAAACACGCACCAACTGTGGGTAAATCTTTCTTCTGTTTCATTTTTGTGGCTCGTTCTTTTCTCAAAGAAAAAACAGCTGGCCGAGGCAGAATCGCGTGGCCGGAATGACCGTTGTGCTTACTAATACATGTCCATTTGGTTTAATCAACAGGACGGATTGTTTATTATAACGCTGATACCATCGGAGGCGTCTATTCGGTGCAACATCGAGCCGCGCACGTATATGCTGCAGATGACGCCGACGGAGCTGCAGCTGAAGTCGGAGGATCTGAACGTGACGATTGCCATGTGGCCGTATCGATTCATTCGCAAGTACGGCTACAGGGATGGTAAGTTCCAGTTTGAGGCCGGGCGCAAGTGCACGACGGGCGAGGGCGTCTTCACGCTGGACCACACCAATCCGCAGGAGGTCTTTCGCTGCATGTCCGCCAAAATGAAGTCGATGAAGAAGCTGATCAGCGGCGACAGCCTCAGCAGCATCGAGTGCGTCGAGAATCAGTTCAGTGCCGCCGCCTGCATGGAGCCCGGCTCGCGCAGCCCGCTGCCGCCGTCGCCCTCGAGCAATCCGCATGCCGGCGAATTCGAGATCAACTCAACGCAGAGCTGCATCTCGCTGCGCGGCTTCATCAGCTCCAATGACTCGCTGAACAACTTCTCGGCGAACGGCAGCGCCAACAGCATCAGCCTGTCCGTGCCATCGCAAGCAGCCGGCAAACACATTCCCAACAAGCCGCCGCGCAAGCTGCCCACGCCCCTCGAGAAGCTCAACATGGGCGCGGCGGCAGCCGTTGCTGCGGCTGCACTGCCACCAGCTCCAGCTACTGTACTGGCTGGCACAATAACTCAATGTGATAAATATAAGAATCTTCTGAAGTATGAACCGGTTGCCATAACCACATCGTCGCCATCGGATGCCAACGGCAAGAGCAGCGGCTCGGCTGTGATACTGAAGCCTGCCTCCCCAGATCCGTTGCGTGCCAGCGGTGGCAGCGGCGTCGGCGGCGTCGGCGGTGGTAGCCCGCCCGACCTGCCGCTGAGGAACGAGAGCTGCTGCAACAAGCTGCCGCTGGAGCGTGACTACGAGTCCATCGAGAACATAACCGAGGCGTGGAAGACGCGCGGCGTTGGCGATGTGCGCCACTGCGAGCGCATACCCTCGGCCATCAGCTGTGACAGCGACTTTGTGCGGCAGCGCTCGCAGTCGCAGCGCGACAAGCGCAAGGATCTGAGCACCAGCGGCGCGACAAGCGGCAGCAGCACGCCCAAGATAATAGACATTGACATTGGCGAGGGCGTGGGCGTGCTGGTATCGCCGGATGCCAACTACGATCGGCTCGACTTTCTATCGCCGAACAACAAAACCTCCAGCGGCTACAAGACCATCGTGAACGTAACACTGCCTGCGAATCGTGTACGCTGCAGTCCGCCGCCGCCGAATGAATATGAACTGATTGCTAGTCCCGATACGGAGAGTTTTCGCAAGGCCGACGATAGTCATCTGGGCTATGGGGTCCTGCGCAAAGCCGCCAACAATACTGCCATCAGCAACAACAACAACAACAACAACAACAACAATAACAATAATAATAATAACAACAACAACAATAACACTAATAATAATAATAATAATAATAATAATGTAAATGTTAGTAATAATAACAACAACACTACACTGCCCGCCACAAACAGCAATAGCAATAGCAACAGCAGCATCAACAACAATAGTAGTACCGGCAGCAATCTCACAGGTCTCTGTGTCACGCCCACAACGAACCTAAGCAACGACGCCGCCCTCGATCATCGCAGCTACAACGGCCTCAACTATACGATCGTCAGCAAGCCCAAGCGTGTGTGAGGGCGCGTGCGAGAGAGAGGGAGTGAGAGAGAACACAGACAGATACATACTGACATAGATCGTTAGACAGAGACTCTGAAGTCGTAGTTCTCGTGTGGAAAACATAAACCATTCGAATAGAAACGAACAAAATATTAACGAAAAAGACAGAGAAAGAGACAGAAAGAGAGAGAGTGAGAAAGAGGGAGCGACGAGCAGTGCGCATTATTAGGCAATCATTTTCATACAACCAGTGGATCTCCAGAGCTCTCGTCGCATTTGTAGCCCAACAGTAAACCTTAAAATAAATAAAAAGAACATGCTCAAAAAACAGTAGAAGACATTAGGGGCGTTTCTCGAAAATATGTTTAAGCTACTGCAGCTGAATTTATTAGAACTGAATGTATTATAACCGCCTTTCTGTACTATAGACTACATTAACTGATTTTGTATTTTGTTGTTTATGTCAAATGTTTCGCAGTCACAAATCTATTCTTAGACTGATCGTTTAACAAATCTCTCAAATTTAGTTTGTTTTAAGCAGATTTCTTTTTGACTTGATCCGGCGTGCAATATCATTGTTTCACTGTTAACAAATTCACTTATATATTTGGTATTTTTAACACTTTCTGTCTGAGAAATACTAGAATATGTATACTAAATGTAAAATATATCTGGTTTTTTTTTTTAATGTGAAAAATCATAAGTTATTTAAGATAGACTAAAGTCTAGAATGTTGCCATATCGTTACTGAATGAACTACTTGTAAAGATATCTACTTTCTGGGCTTCAGATTTTCCGACTTTCGATTCCATTGTAAAGAAATATTGAATGGATTCAACTCAAATCTCTTAATCCTAAAATGTATTACTAATTGCATTTGTAGAGCGTGTTTCTACTGTTTTGAGCTTAAGTAAGATCTTTATGATGTTATATATATACGAGACTAGAATGTGAACGAAAGCAGACAAAAATAACTCTAATGAGAGATAGCGATTGAGCAAACCCTCTCATTAGCAGCAGCAGCAGCAATAACACCTTTTACTTGCATGTACATGTAGATATATAAGTAATACGTATGCCAATGTATCTATGCGCACATATAGTTGTATATCGTGTTAAAGCGGGGCTTTGATCTGTGGCGCCTTTGTTGGGTGTCGTTGTGAACGACATTTGGTATTTCGATTTGTGCATATACCAAAATTGTGGCGATTTTTCCAATGTACTTTGATTATTTTTATATATGCTTTCAACAGTATATTATTTTTTTTTTTTATTATTATTTTTATGCATAGACAAACATATATAAAACATTTTTTTATTGTCCCTATTAAATGTGTAAATAAAGCAAACGAAAAATAATAAAAATTATATAAAACTAATCTATATATATGAGCAAACAGCTTTTTCATTACTGGAAACATCTTTTAATTAGATTTGTAAGTGTAACAGTTACTCAACTAGTATATACCTGCAATTTTCAAATTGAGACGGTTTCTTTTTTTTTTTCTTATCACAATTTTATATGAAATGGTTTATTACAAAATTGAAAGACTTTATTTTAGAATATAAAATATTTTTTCAAATTTGTTCTTGAAAACGTACTAACTGTAATCTGAACTTGACTTCATTTTAACAGTCAATATTTGTATAAAAATTATGGCGAATCTAATTTTGTATATAAAAGTATTATCATCAGGCAGTACCGCCTTCGTAACTTTCATTAACAGTCCAAAAAGAGTTGTAAATCTCAGGATTAGTCCTCATTGGGCACATATGTGTGTGTATCAAGAAAACTTTTTACAAGATTGTATATATATAAAAAATGTACTACTTAATATTTGATGTCCGAATAGACGCACGGATAGTAATATACTCTTTTAGCATGATGAACGAGTATAAAAATCGAATAAATACTGAATTGCTCAATACGATGCAAAAGCATATCGCAGCAGGCTTTGCAAACACAGTAGGCAGTGGAATATGAGTGAAGTAGAAGCGAATTGGAGTTAGTTTTATTTTTTGTTGTTGCATTGAAGTTCGACAATTCATTTGACTGAGCATCGAAAAAAAAGAAAAAATAATTGGGAAATTTCCGGAAAATGTTGTCATTGAGACGCTTGCAAAGATTCCAATGGCGTCCATTGGTGCGTCTCTGTTCGGCCGAGTTAGTACACAAAGTAAGTGGCATCGAATTGATAAATAACACATATAGCCTCGATAGTTAATGCTCTCAATTCGAACCACTTTGAGCAATAGGACACATTCATAGAGAAACTGCGGAACAGCTATATTGAGGATGAGCGTAACAACTTTGTGGTGCCGACGTTCAAGAAGGCGATGCTCTTTCCAGATGAGATTGCAATCAAGGACTTGAATGGAGAATTTACATACTTTCAGCTTTACATAACAGCCAAAAAGCTGGCCATTCAAATATCCAACTTTTGTGGTAATCCCAGCGAGTCCCTTTGAGAATTCATTCACTTTTCATTGATATATCGAATTTGTACTATTCCAGGCAGTGCCTCGCAGTCGAATGTCGCTTTTTTGTGCTCCACCAATGCGCTGTGGGTTGTTATCCAGTGGGGCTGCTGGATTTCGGGCCAGGTGGCTGTGCCGCTGGAGCCCAATCAAGCGGCAGATGAGCTGCTCAGCCAGGCCACCGATTGCAAGGCGAAGCTGCTGATCGGCACTCCCGAGTGCGAGACCATCACCCAGGAGCTGGCCACGAAACTGCAGACGGCCAGCATTGTGCTGGATCACAGCTTTGTGCCCACGTCCGAGAGCGTCGCCTCCACGGCCATGTATGCCAAGCAGCTGGTGGGCCTGAACGGGGCCCTCATACCGGAGAGCACGCTGCCCAACGACTATTATGCCAACGCGCCGGCCATGCTGATCTACACGCCCAGCTCCTCGAACAGTCGCAACGGCGTGGTGCTCACCCATCGGAATATCGAGGCGCAGATGCGCTGCCTCGTCGCCAGCTGGCATCTGAAGGCCAGCGACTCGATGCTGCCGCTCATTTCGATGAACCGCATGCATGCGGCCATTGGGGCTCTGCTCGGTGTGGGTGGCAACATCTTGCTGCAGCAGAAATTCGACAGCCACACCGCTTGGAGCTCGCTGCTGGGCATCAACAGCCCGTCGAAGCAGCGCGTGAACATCTTCCTGGCCATGCCCATCATTTACAAACGCCTCATTGCTGAATATGACAAAATGTTTGCCCAGGACTCGCGCATGGTCGAGTACATAATCAATCACTGCAAGCAGAAGATCCGGCTGATGGCCACTGCATTCGGGCTGCTGCCGGAGTCGGTGTTCTATCGTTGGCGCGAGATAACCGGGCAGAATATTTACGAGTACTACGGGATGCTGGAGACGGGCCTGGTGCTAGGCCCCGCCCTCGACGAGCAGTCGGCCAACAGCAGTGCGGACTACCGCCCGGGCACCTTGGGCGCACCACTGATCGGTGTCACAGCGCGCCTGGTGAACAACCAAGGCGATCAGCTGGTTAGCTGCAAGAGCGAGCCCAGCACGGAGAACAGCGCCAGCTCGGACCAGAAGCCCAAGAGCATGCCAGTGCTGAACACGGTTGTCGGCGAACTGGAGATAGCTGGCGCGAATCTATTTCCCCGAAGGATCAACGCAATGATGCAGATAACCCCTGTGAAGGTAGGATCGACCGCAGCAGTTGACCAGGTCGCGCCGATGGAGCACTCCGCCGAGAAGTTTCTGAAAACCGGTGACATTTGCGCCTATCGCAACGGCAGCTTCATCTTCCTAAGCAAAACGACGGACGTGTTCAATGTGGGTGGATACAGGGTCTACGGATCCGAGATCAAAAAGGCTCTCATTTCACATCCGAGCATCAACGATGTTGCCGTCTTGGGCATACCCAATAAATTATGGGGACATCGTTTGGGCGTCATTTGCATCTTGTCGCCCGATGCCGATGTCGATCTGGAGACAATCAAGTCCTACTGCTATAGCCAGCTGCCAGCCCATAAGCGCCCCACTGTCTTTAAAACGATCGTTGCCAAGTAATCAAGCAATCAATCCAGCGATCTATTAGTTCAACATCCTCTCTTGTCCGATCGTACAATGATGACAAAAATTTTCGTGTCCTCTATTTTAACTGTTCAAAGATAAAGAGAAACCTCTATTCCTTTTACAAATGATTGCAACCGAGAAATTCATCAAATGCAGTACTACATACACAAGCTCAATAAATTTTAGAATAATGATAACCTTTAGCTAACTGTCAAAGAATACCGGCAAATTATTAATCAATCTGCTATCATCAAAATCTCGGTGCTGCTTATGTAGCTCGATTAAAACTTGCATTTTAATTATTGATTATTGATTTCTTTTTAGGGTTAAACTAAGTATCGTACCATATACTATATTACGGTCTGTGGTGCTATCTGCTATGTATAACATATTAATAGGTATAGATAAAGAGCCGGATCAAACACATGCATGTTCTCTGCCCAGGTGTGTCGAGGTCCCAGTGGGGAGGTCAACGTCCCAGTAATATGAACGAAATATAAGAATCATATACTTGTATATTAATTATAGGAAAATAACAATAATCCGGCCGTAACCTTTAAGCTGAATTACGTGCCTAATCAATCAAAATGTTAATGATATATATATATACATACATATATAGGAATTGTCACTATAATGGGAAGCATTAAATAACAAACCTAATTCATCTTAAGGGATATATACATCTGCTCAAAATACTCACCAAATAACAACAAAATACACCTGAAATGTTCATACGTATATACTTATATTGAATTCTGAGATATATGTAGCTTGCTGATGTAGAAATCAACTCCTTTGAAGGATTGTTATGCTGCTATAGTCGCCATCATCATCCACGATCTCCAAAGTTGCAGTCCACGTCTTCGTTGATGGAGCACAGTGCCGGGTAGTTGGGGTTCATGCCTGATTTGCACTTTTCTCCGGCTTTGCTGCAGGCCGTGTAGACTGGCCAGCCTTTAAAGTTGGTTGTGGCATAGTTGCATGCCACCAGGAACGTGTTGTACTCGTCTTTCAGGAAGTTGGCAACGGCACAGCCGACGGCTATGCTTCGCTCTTGAGCCACCATCGTCAGATGGCCAATGGTGCTGTCCATGGAGTTGTATACAGGATATGGGATATAGTACACAGGATAGTGTATAGGATGTGCGACTTACGGTCCATTGTAGTTGCTGGGATACTTGGCTAGATGCGCGGCCTTGACGTCTTTGCCTTCCGTTGCCCAATCCTCGACTGCGCTGCGCAAGACTGTGGATATATCGGGCGCCGCCAGGCCCCAGTAGCCCTCAATGAACAGGTTCTGCCCGGAGTACTTGAACTGCTCCGTGTTATGGCATGCATCGTGCTCCATGTAGCACTGCTTCACATTCAACTCGGCCAGCCGCGCCAGCTCTGCGTCCCACCTGACGGTGGCCATGCGGCAGGCCTTCACCTTGACATGCCCCCTCCCGCTGGCCCACTGTTCGCGCACCTCGTTGTGCGCCGCCACAACGGCCTGCTGCGCCTCCTTCCTAATCGCCAGAAGCTTCGCGTCCGCCGGGCACTCCTCGGAGAAACTCTGCAAGCAGCAGCCACAGATGCACTACAGCAACGACAGCAGCTCAAGTCCATCCACTAACCTCATCGTTGCCGCAGGCTATGTGCTGCACACCCTTACGACACAGCTTGCAATAGTCGGGCTTCCCAGCTGCCTCGAGGAGGCAGCTCAAAGCCATTGCTGAAACCAGCAGCCAGGTGATTCTGCGTTCCGTCATCGTGAAACTATGTGTGGGACAATCGCTTGGAGCACTGCTTTATATCATGCCGTCGTAGGGAAATCGTGACGCCTTATCACTGGAACGAAATGGGGAAACCGCTTCAAGTGGATTAACTGAAAGGTTTTCGAAATGAAAACTAATTTGCCAAGGGTAATTGAATTCTATTAGCTCATGGATCAGATATCTTGGGGCTAAGTCTCAACTTGTACTCCCCCAGTAGTAACCCAGTAGTAATGTCACTTTGTTGAAAAGGTATATAACAGAAAGAAGAAGGCGTGGTAGAACCCATTAAATATGTCGTAGAATGATTGGATAGTTCTATGCAGCGTTCAGGGGAACCTCTTCTAGTCGAGCAGTCTCTCGACTCTTGCTTGTTCATATTTCGATCAACGTAGCTCGCTTGGCTTACGTCAGAGCAGAGTTTGCTCTGCTGTAGCTCAGTAAACATAGCCTACTCTATTTAACCTTTCGAGTTTTGTGCGCTGTGTGTGTCGCTATATTTCGGGCACAAACTTAATTCGAAATTACTAAATTTAACTGGGGTTCAGCGGGCGAGCGATCCAGGCAGACGGCTTCCAAAATGACTGTTACGTATCTAATACCAATATATCCCCCCGACAGTCGACTCACTTTCGATTGGGATGACAGTGTGGAGGCGTCGCTATTGGTGGCTCTTGGCTTTTTAGTTCTCATGCAACTGATCCTTCTCATTTACATTGTGCTGGCCCACTTTCAGCCCTGCACCCTGTACCGGCAGCAGCTGAATGAAAGCTACCGCCGCCGCTATGGAAACTTTATCTTTCGTCGGCTGCTAGCTCAACTCGATCGTGCTTTTGGTCAACGACCCGAAGCCGGGCAGGAGCTCAGCTTTTGCCTAGAAGCGAAACGCAATGCCCAGTTGGCAATACGCCTGTTCTGCCGTGACTCTACCAAGGTACTCTACCCTGAGCACGAACTGGACTCATTGGCAGCCAGTGATGCCTATTTTGTGCTTGACGACGAGGAAGCCGAGCTCATTTCCGCAGGCTATTACAGTGTCAATTTCGATGTAACGGATGCATTCCTAGAGAACCTATTATACCCCAAACGTGCTGATATCCCCAGTAAAAAATCAAAATCGTAAAGTTGTTAGCGAATCATGCTATTCTCATTGTGGTGTCAGCGATGACGGTATTCCATTTTATTTCAATAAATAATGACACAGATATCCAAATTTAATCGAATGCTCGAGTTGTGACCTCTACTCTCTTGCCTGTGCATGTACTTTGTTGAGGAATCACTAAGTGCGGGGTTCAAGTGGGGTTTACTCATCAAACTTCTTTCGCTTTCAACCCCACTAAGCACTGGGAAGCATCACTCAAGGAGCTTCACCCACTGATCTGAATGCCCAGACCTCTATCTGAGAACTTGTGAATTTGGTTTTCTTTTTCAATATGTATATTTTGCAAACAACTTGAACATACCACTCGCACACAAAACCAACTAGAAACATAACATAATGATATAGCTAAACATAATTGTTAATATTAAACATTAGCAACCTGTCGATATACTTATGGGAACGGACTCGTATATCTACAGTTATATACACTTTACAATACAAATTACGACACAAAAAAAGCAATAGAACTAGATTTCATTCCAACAAAGTTCGGTAAAGTTCGCTAGAGTTCACTTCTTGAAGCAGATCTTGAGTATGCGTATGACTGGCGCCTCGAATAGTGCGGATATAACAAAGGCAGATCCGAAGGAGACAACGGCGTTGCCCAGAAACGTAGTCAGTATCATGGGATTGTTGAGATGAACGGTGCCGCTCATATGCGATGAGCAGATGAACATAATAATCGGATGGATCAGATAGGCGCAGTAGGTGAGACGCGACAGCGGCCACAGCACGCGATAGGAGAGTATCGCGTTGACAGTGGGCGCGAGTCCCCAGCAGCAGGAGAGCACTATCCAGACGAGGCCACACCCGAAGGCCGTATGCCCAATGCTCACATAGAAGGCGGTGTTCACGACGCTCAGTTCACCTGGCCAAACGCCAAAGATGACCAGGAATAGAACGCCCAGGCTGCAGGCCCAGAGGCTAAGATTAAGACGCCTAGATATTTTCGGGGGCGTCTTTACCCTATACAGCGCATAGCCGGTAAACATGCCTGGGTACGTGAGAGAAAGAGAAAGAGAGAGTGAGAGTAATTTGAGAGATTGAAGAGCAACGGCAGTAATAGGACTTACCCACTATATAGGCTCCCACACGCTGCCAGGGCTTGTCGTAGAGAAAGTCAAAAGACTCGAAGGGCAGCGCCACCTTGTGGGTGTATTGATGCTGCAAGGAAATAATGCCCGAAACGCTCCAAGAGCTGACCAGAAAGACAACCAGTGTCACTGCCACCGCCTTGAAGTATCTAGAAAGAGTGACATCAATAGGTTAAATAGAGCCAGACTAACTGAAGCACCCGTGCCTACTTTCGGGAGAGCGCCAGCAATAGACAAGCCATGACATAGAACTGCATATCGTTGGCCATGTACCAGCTCCACATCATGCACATCTCGTGCTGGGGAAAGAAGTTGTTGATGTACAGAATGTTGCGCCACCAAAAGATGCGGCAGGTGTTGTGCTCGATCTTGGCCGGCTGGAAGACGGACGAGTCAAGACCCTGGCGGACGGCAAAGTCATTGAACAACACCACGAAGAGGTAGACGGGCGTGAGGCGCAGATAGCGGTACAAGAACATCATCATGGTGTCCAGGAAGCTACGCTTGAAGACGGTGCACGGCGGACCCGCAGGCTTCCTTTCCTGCTTCACATAGAGCAGAGTGACCAACAGGCCGCTGATGAAGAAGAACGAGTCCACGGAGAAGGTGGCATTGCCAATGACCTGATACCAAAACGAACGTTCCGTGATAACGCGTTCGAACTGAGGCAGACAGCAGACAGAGATAAATTGGAATACCTTGTGTACTGAGAGTCGCTTCATACGCTACCTTATTCTCGCCTATCGCAAACATTTGCAAATACGTGTGCACCATCATGGTCCAGAGTACCGAGAAGACGCGCAGGCCATGCAAACAGGATGTGTGCGTCTGCGTGGAGTGTAGACAAGGATTGCTAAGGTTCTAGATAAGGAGGTGTGTAAGGACTTACCTCCTTGTTCTTGTCTATGTTCAGTATGGCCTTGGCATTCGTTTGCAGTGCAAAGCACAGCAACAGTTGCTGATGCAGAGCTATAAGAAAGGGGTAGAATGTACATACATATAATATAGATGGTATGCTGATGGATATTACTCTATTATTCCCAAATAAAATGCCACGTCCGCACCAATATATATGCATAATGCAAAAATACGAATTAAACAAATTCCAAGGGAAGGAAGCACCCTTTCGACACGTTCTACACCACAGTTCTTGTGGACTAGTCCACTCCCTTAGCCAAGACAAACACCCACATTTATGCAAACCGCTTAGTGTAGACACAAACCTATGGGCTGTTCGGCTTCGTAGGTGCCCGCCACGCCTGCACAGCTGCCCGTTTCCACCTGGTAGTCCGTCATCTCACTCTTGTCCGTCTGTTTGCCCGCCACGCCCACAACAGTGGCCACCGACGTGGAGGCTGTGCTTTCGCCGTGCATGGCCTCCGCTGAGTTGGTAGCTGCATCCGGATGCCGTTGCCGATTGCCATTCATATCGATGTGCGCGTCCAGCGTCGAGTCCGTTGCCACAAGCCCGTTGCTGCTCAGCGGTCGCATTTGAAAGAGCTCGAAGGGCTTGCCGTAGTAGGCCGCCTCGTAGTCCCCGCTCTTGCTGGCGGCATCGCATTTGGCGCTGATCGCGGGTATCGGCGCCGCTACCAGGCGACGCTCATCGATGCGCATCTGGTAGTAGGTGGCCACGATCATCACCAGCAGCAGGGTAAGCAGAAAGCTTCTGCAGTCATAGAGATAAGGTTGGCTCTGCCATTAGCTCGCCGAAGTCGGTGCTGCTTGGTTGCACTACTCACATGAATACCTGGAACTTGAGCTGTCGCCAGTGGCTATATAGTCCAGGCACGGTGCGCACGCGCAGCACCTGAAGGGCCGGCTGCTGGGCGCTGGCGTTGTGCGCTCCAAGCATGGTCAGCATCCGTGCATAGGGGTCCAGCGAGAGTATCGATTGCACATCGTGCGCCGAGCAGGACTTGGGCAGGCACTCGCCCAGGCTCAGAAGCTGCTGCTGCATGTGCACTATAATATTGCAGGCAATACTTTCAAATTTAACAACTTACCGTGCGATTGAGGCGTGGCATTTGCAGCGAAATATCAGCCACATAGAATTCCAGCTCGAAGTGCTTCCGTTCCCCGCTACCAGAGAGCTGCCTGTTCAGTTCCATACAGAATGTCAGCTGCCCCAGCCACTTGTCATTCCCGAACAGCAGCTGACCTCGATAGCGTCCCGAGGCATCGTACGCTACAATTACAGATCAGGCAACGAAATTAAGGATTACTACGCTCATTAAATATGATTCATTGACAGAATCGAGAAAGAGTTCGATATCGATCGTGATTAAGAAATAATCCTGAGCTATATGATATAATTTAGTCATGTAAATCCTGGCACATTTCTTAGATCAGAGAATGAGAGATCCATCTAGTTAAGATCAATCAAAAAATGTGTATTACAAGACTAAAATCTAATTAAAACCTTCTATTTGGCTGGAGTTCGACAGTAAACAGTAAATACCATATTGTTTGGTAACTGAAATATGTTCATAAGAACTGATTCTTTGCTTATAAAACCACTTAGTATTCATTTGTGGCCTCACCTTTCTGTGCCCATTCGTAGTTGGAGTGCAGTCCGGTTAGGTAGGCCTGCATCTCGAGGCCGCAGCCGGTGCGCACGCTGGTTCGTATTTCGGAGATTTGCCAGTAGAAGTGATCGTACAGATTGGTCACGATCTGAAAGTAGTTGGCCGAGCCGTAAAGGCTCTCGGCCATGGTGCTGCTATTCGCGCTCGCCGTTCCATTGCTGCCCAGGTAGTGGCTGATGCTATTGATGGTGCTGCCCAGGGTCTTCAGCTGCAGCTCGTCGTCGCTTTGCTTCAGCAGCTCTCTGCCCTTCTTGGGAGAGGGCTTGTTTTTCAAAATCTTCAGTATGTGGGTGCTGCTCGTTGTGGTTGTTGCTGCTGTTGTTGTTGCTGCTGCTGCAGCTGTTGTTGTTGTTGTTGCAGCTGTTGTCGATGTTGCTGCCGTTGTTGTAGTTGTTGTGGTGGTTGTGGTTGGCTGAAAGCTAGAGTCGGGCAGCGCTGATATGTCCACATCGACGGTGTCGCTGTCATCAGGGTTTGTGGGCTTGTAGCTCAGCTCGGGTGCATTGCCATTGCTGAGGACGTGCTGCTCCTCGCTGCTGAGGTCACCCTTCTTGATCACCTCATGCTCCAGGTCCTCCAGGTCGCCCAAGTTGAAGTCAAATGTAACCGGATGCAGTTCGTATTCCTTAAGCGGGTGCGGCTTCACATACTCAATGCTGGGCAGCAGCTTCTCCAGTGGCAGGTAGGGCTTCTTCTTCAGCGGCTTCTGTGGCAGCACTTCGTGAGTGTTGAGCGTGAGAGGAGGCTCCTCCTCCTCCTCCTCGGCGTCCACCTCATGCAAGATGGTTATGTTGTTGCGGCTGCTGAAGCGATGCGCCGCAAAGTCTCCCAGCTGCGCTGTGGAGGCCAAGGCCTTGACTGGCTCCGAGCTGTTTGTGGCTTGAGGCTCAGTTCGATTGACCGCTGCAGCCAGCTGGCCAGCGACCAGGATCACCAGCAACACACCCAGTCCTATTGTCCTTGACATAGTGTCTGGCACTCTTGGATCTGCTGCTCACTTGGATCTTACTGCTACTCGAGCCTAAACTTTAGCTTGATGTCGTTCCAGTTGAGTCCTCTAAACACTCTCCTGCATTTTCTCTTCTTCTGTTTTGCTTTCGATTTTTCACGTTTTATTTGCTATCTGCTTGAAGTTGCGAATCTCACTTCTCGCTGTCATCGTTCTAGTATTTAGTTCATGTGATTTAATCAATGGATTTCTATATAGACAGGATTAGAGTTCAATAAACATATATTTATATCTAGCGATTGCCCAACCCCCCGTTTCGGACATAAACGATTGGGCA